CGTACGTACTTTTTGCTCAAGCTCGACAATGTCGTTCACCCACCCGAAATTGTACGTAATCACGTCACGGGCATCTTCTTTGACAACCAGGTGTATTACAACACGTGGTTTCTTGACGAGAAATATGCAATCCACGGCATTCAAATGATACCCGTGTCGCCTGTGAATGAACTGGCGCGTACGTCGACATTTGTGGAACAAGAGTGGAACAACATTGTGTCAAAGCTGCCCATTATCGCCGAGGAAGGTAGCAACATAACGTGGCTGTCATTGTTGCTCGTCAATGGTGCTACAGTGAATCCGATGGAGTCACTGCGCAGGCTACCGAATTCCAGCATGGATGATGGCTTAACGTTGTCATGGGCATTGTACAACGCGGCTACTCGCTGCCGGGACTTCGTGGAAGTCAATGTCAGCATAGACATCCAGCTCACCATCGATGTCTCCGTCGACGTGTATCTCTCGCTGTCCAACTAGACGGGCGTGGATATGCACACAAAACTAAGTAAGTGAAAATTAGGTATTATGGACAATGTTCTTTAGATTCTCTGTATGAGCCTTTTTGACATCATGCACATCAACGCAAATTTATTTCTCGTGCATATCAGTTTTTTTGACTGCCAGACGCTCAACAATAAAAGATTTTGAGTAAAAAGAGAAATGATTATTGGCTAATACTGTGTACTTTCAAACTATTAATTTTGAAAGCTAATGTATAATTCTAGATATATGATTCATCGGTGAACTTGAGCAGTTCGTGCATGAACGGATCTGCGTTACGTGTCCTTATGAGCTTATCCGCTATGTGTTCGTGCGGTTGTCAGCTCAAACTCTACTCAAATGAATCTGCTCTACCGGTAATGCCGCTGCACTTGTCAAGTTTGGTGAACTGAGCTCTGTGAGGGCGTGTAACGGGTTATATTACTTGTTCAGGGAGGGTGCATGCGCATAAAACACTTGAACAAAGTCATAGGTACCATATTTCTGGTACTGATGGAGGTGCCGTAAAACGTTGGTAGTCTCTGATATGAACATTTTTTGGACGTTCAACGACGCGTCTGGCAGTATCTGTATTGTGGCTGTGACGGGGCACACGGCACCTTGCACAGAGGAAGCTTGACTTCCAAGAGTATA